ACAGACAGACAGTCAGACAGACAGACAGTCAGATAGACAGATAGATAGATAGAACAAATTATAGATAGAACGATAGATAGAACGACAGACAGACAGACAGACAGACAGACAAATGTCTTTACTGGCACTTTTGAACAATTTAATGCAAATTACATTTCTTTAAAAAAAAATCTTACTGAGCCCAAACCTAAATTCTGCTGCCTGTCATTCCAATTCAAATTCTCTGTGTGTTCTGGCCAACTGAATTCAAATTCTCACTGAAAAGGAGTCGATTCTTCAATTGTGAATTCTGCAGAAGCAGCGCAGTCGAGTTTGGAACAGACGGTTTGAGGTTTTCAGTGTGTGACAGCAGCATCTGACATCTCTCACGTCCAGCGCCAGAGTCCTGAGGAAACGGCCCAAAGCTCAGAGCCTCCTGCTGGTGTGTCCCGCACCTCCTGCACTTTCACAGACTCACTCACACTGCTGACCTGCTCACTCGTCCAGCTAATATTAGCTGTGCCACGAGTGCATGAGGCTCTGAGGAGGCCAGCTATCTGCCTCTCTCTGTCTCACATCACATACTCATAAATTCACAACACGAGCTCCATCCAGACAGCTTACTGAAACTTAGATCAGAAACATATCCTACACAAGTACACTACAAGTGCATCCCACACTGCAGGGGTAGAGTTGTAAATACTTGCAATAACAGACTGCTTAAGAGTTTTGGACCTAAAATAAAAAACAAAAAAACATCTCGTTCAAAATTATAACATCACAACCATAAGCTCATTAATTAAAACTATTGGAAAGCATTTTTGTTAACTAAAATAAAGCTGAATAAAATAAACAGAGGAAAAACTTGCACTTAAAAAAATTAAAAATCAATCAATAAAATAAAGTTGAAGTTGAAGAACTAAAATTGCTAAAGCTAAAATCGGTATAAAACCGATAATTGGTATTAAAATTAAACAGAACTAAAAAAACAATAAAAATAAAAGAACAACAAAATTACTTATACAAAGTACAACTAAGACGAAAACTGAAAATATAAAAATAAATGCTAATATATTATTAATAAATACTATAAAGTATATAAATTATATTAAAATAACACTGATTAACTTGCAAAAACATTGTTCAGAATTGTGATGTCATAATCATAAGCTTATTAACATCAGTGTTGTTATTGTTAACTAAATCTAAAACTACTAAAATGTTTTCGTTGAAATAAATTGAAATATTAGATGAAAAACTTGTACTTGAATTTAAATGAAAAATAAAAATGTTGCCTTGGCAACTAAATGAAAAATAATAAGTTTAACTTGAAGTACTAAAATTACTAAAACTAAATCAGATATAAATTAAAGCTAAATAGAAAAAAAATAAAAAAATAAATAACAGAAATAACAAAAGCACATAACAAAATGACCTAACCTACAATTAAAATGAAAAGTGAAAACATGAAAACAAATGCTAACTATGCTATAATAGTACTATAATAGTATATAAATAATACTAAAACAACAAAGCTGCAAAAACATTTTAAGAATTATGACATCACAATCATAAGCTGATTAACATCAGTGTTGTTACTTTTAACTAAAATGAAGACTATTAAAATTGTTTTCATTAATTGCAATAAAACTAAAATAAAAATAAATAAGATGAAAAACTTACACGTGAAGTGCTAAAATTACTAAAACTGAAATAGAAATAGCAACTAAAGAGAAATATTTAAAAACTAAGACTAATAAAAATATTAAAAGCACATAAAATAAACTAAAATTACAATGAAAACTAAAATCTTAAATTATTTAAAAAAATAATACTATAATAGAACATAACACTAAAATAACACCGATTGACACATAACTCCCACATTTACATATTAAATGACAGCAACTTGACCTGCAGCCAATCTCAGCAGAGCTCATTTACATATACAATACAAAACTCAAACAGCCCGTTCCATTCAAGGGTCAGAAAATGTTTAAGAGAAACAACATTATGAGTGTTTCTGGTGCACAAAACCTGGACAAACATTATAAGTGAGCTTCAATAAATCACAGAGTGCTCATATGTGTGTGTGTGTGAGTTTCCCATCGGTCTTACTTTATCCAGCAGCGGCTGGCACTGCGGCACTTTGCTCTCTGGACTCTCGAGTTTGACGATGCTGATGAAGATGGTCTCCTGACGGTCATCTTCGCTGGTGTTACACAGAGACAGCGGGTGAGACTGCAGAGAGACAGACAGACAGAGAGAGAGAGATTCAGATGTAAAACAGGCAAACGGGACTGAGATCCACCACAGCATCTGCTCAGTAAATCTCTCAGCCGATGAGACTCGTTTTCCCAGAGGCCAAGCAAATGTTTCCTGGATATTTATTTTGTGATTTCAGTCCTGTCAGAGTATGATGGCATCGTTTTAGAAATGTAAGCACATTTAATGTACACGCATTCAACAAGTGTGATAATGCACAATCTGCTACACGTGACTGACAAAGTGGAATCAAATGAAGCCACTCTCTTCTTCTATCTGAATACAGCAATAGCCAATGGAAAGCATCAGCTTCACATTCAAATGACACACGTGCATGAGTTCATGAAGCTGTACCTTCAGCGTGCAACGGCTCTTTGATGTTGAAGAGGCAACTTCCTTTTCCTACGCATGTGGGCGAACATTTGACTAATAGTTCCCTTATCATTGAAAACCAAAAGAGATAGAAGTGACACAGAAAGAGAGAGAGAGAGAGAGAGAGAGAGAGAATAAGTTGAAATGTTTTTAAAGGAGGCAGAATATAGGCTCATGAATATTAATTAGGTGATTTGCCCATCATATTGAATATATATTATATTCACAACGGTTGCATTTAGATTAATTTAATAAAGCAAAAGATATTAAATTATTATATTATTTACTGCATTTAACTAATTAATATATATTCTATCTATATTACATTTAAATATAATATATAATAAATATTTAAATAATGAATTAAACATTTAAAATTATAATATATAATTATTAATTAAAATATATTATATAGAGAGAGAGAGTAAGTATGTATCTTATATTAATTAATATATTTATATATTAACACTCCAAAGAGAAAGGAAAACTTGAAATCGCATCATATGACCCCTTTAATGTATCTTATATTAATTATATTAATAATAAATTAATTCTATAATATAAACTATAATAATTAATTAAAAGTAACTTTAGCTACATGCCAATTCTTACATGCTTGGCTAACACAAGTAGTATGAGATTAAATGGGTCTATAGTATAGTAACACAAACTCAGAAGTGTGAACTTTACCATCACCAGCGAACTTCTAGTGGGTTATGAAAGTAAACTGGTACATAATAACCATGGATGCACTGGACCCTTCCCCAAATAACCCTCCAGCAGCAGGACAGTTCCCGTGGGATGCACAGGCTGGCCGTGACCCGCCTCACCCGCCAGCGTCCTTCATCCCGCTAAACAGAGCGGAAATCCCAGCGTGAAACTGAGCCGTGACATAAGCAGCTGGCAGATCAGCAGAGAGACGCTGAAGTCATCGGCGCAGAAGGGCTGTTGGGTGTCAATCAAACCCAGAGATGATGGAAAGAGGGAGCGGAGGAGAAGCGTGGAAATGACAGGAACACCGCAGTACATGGACAGAATACTGCCTTAAAGGACAGAGGTCAGGCACTCAGGTCGTCTTTAGGATGCTCTGTGAGCACTTTCAATAGACAATCAGTGATATTTTTGAACGCCTAAAGTATCTATATTATGAAAGCATGTTTCCACCACAGAATAAAAACATAAAAAAATTCAAGTTCACAGTTTCACAGACTTTTCAGTTCAGAATTCTGAGTTTAAATCTTGCAATTCTGTTTTTTTCCACCATGGAATAATAATAATAATAATAATAATAATAATAAAAGTAATTTTAAAACTTTTTTATCTCACAGTTCTGACTTTTTTCTTGCAATTGTGAGTTTATACAGAACTATCCTAAAATGGCTGTTGCCAGCAATCTACCTCGGAATATAAAAATTTGACAAGTTAGAAACATTTGACAATAATATCCCAATTCCAATTTTTTTATTATATCCTTAATATATAGGTGTTCTCACGTCCAGTTTGGTTTTCTTTTATGTTTGCATGTCTTACTATCAGCCATGATTATTCTACTCTGCTAATTAAAAGGCTGTTTATATGCATATTACAAAAATTTTATTAGTCGCAGATAACATTCATCGACCTCAAATATGGCTTATCATCTGAAAAATGTAAGTAGTAGCAACTTTACATGGCAGCTCAATCTAATGATAGCCTTGAAAAAAGTGCGCAGTTCACTTGCTGTTTTTCCCTAACACATTCATCATTATTATATTTGCCGGTGCGCTGTGGCAAGCCTTTTTTGTGTGCGCTTGAGCGCTTATTAGGCTATGTAGGCAATTAAGGCTCATTATTATGATTTATATGGTTTATTAATAGAAGTGCGACTAATAGTCGACTAATGATTAAAATGAACGACTACTAGTCGACCAGAAAAATCTTTAGTCGAGGGCAGCCCTAATGCATAGGCCTATTGACTAATTGTCAATAGGCTGAGACTATCAGCCAATCACTGTGTGCATAGTTAGTAAGTATGCTGACATCATCCATAGCAACGAGGTCAACCCCGCCCCCTTACTCTTAGCTTAAGACTTCTGTCAATTTAAGCTACCTATTTCTGTAAAAAAAAAAAAAAGATATATACACTTTACTTGATACTTGAAACTTTAATTTCGAAAGAATGCATTAAATTGATTAAAAACAGGAAAAAGTAAAAATAAGTTTTATAATAAATATAACTCACCCTAAAAATATAGTAAAAACTGTAATATTGTGAAATATTATTACAATTTAAATTAAGAAACATTTCTGATTATTATCAATGTTGAAAACAGTTGTGCTGCCCAATATTTTTGTGGAAACCGTGATACATTTCCTTTTTCAGGATTCTTTGATGATCAGAAAGTTCAAAAGAACGGCATTTATTTGAAATAGAAATCATCTGTAACATTTTAAATGTTTTTATTGTCACTTTTGATCAATTTAATGCATCCTTGATGAATAAAAGTATTAATTTCTTTTATATATGTGTGACACATATATGTGACCCTGGAGCACAAAAGCAGTCTTAAGTCGCTGGGGTATATTTGTAGCAATAGCCAACAATACATTGTATGGGTCAAAATTATCGATTTTTCTTTTATGTTTCAAAAAATTGACCCTTATGACTGGTTTTGTGGTCCAGGGTCACATATATTTAAATATCCCATTGCCTGAAAGTCTGAGGATGTGTGGCCTTCAACAAAAGGGAAAAGAGGAAAGCAGTGAAATAATGGCTGGATTCAGCCGGTAGCCTCTGTAGTCCCACAAAGCTCCTGTCACGAATCCTCTCTGAAGGAGCTGTTTTCATCAGTTCTCCCGGCGGCTCTGAGCTTCTGGAGTAAAGCTAATCATTATCTCTGGCCAGCGTAAGCCAGCTCTGTTTACCATCAAGAGACCGTCCAACGCAGTCTATCATCTCCGCTGGGTATTTTTATCTCACAAAGGGGAAGAAATCTAAAAGCGGCATCGGTTCAGACCCCAAAAGACACATCTTCATTTGGTTTTTGGAGAAACAGTGGCACACACAAACAGATTATTGACAATAGTCCGTACGTCTGTCTAAACCGCAAACCGGCTGGGGATGAGACGGCCCTTCCACCGCTTTGTAGTGGCATATAAAGACATTCCAGCGCCATCTCGACAACAGACAGACGTCTAAAAATACTCATAAATCAAATGGCCTCAAAACAAACACAGGAGAGGAGCGATAATAAAGAGTTGCTGTGGTGAGAAAGTATTTTTGCCCTGTGGAGCCTCTTTCTTCTTCTGCCAGTTACGCAGTTTGTTCATGTTTTGCCAGCTGAGCTCCAGCGCACCAGTCGTTCTTTTCTATCTGTATGTTTATTTATTTATCATTTTTTAATCTATCTATCTATCTGTCTGTCTGTCTGTCTATCTATCTATCGCCATATCAGCATCAAAGGCTATATTCATGGCTTAAAAAAGAGATAATAAATAAGATAATATATAAGAGATACTAAATATTTTTTAAAGAGATAATACAAGAAAAAAAAAAAAAAAAAAAAAGTAATACATTTAAAATAATAATAACAATAATACTTAAATGAATTGTATACAATAATTCAACAATATTATCTTTAAAAACAACAATAATAATATCAGTTATATAAAATTCTTATAAAAAAGTTATATAAAAATGTATATTTAATAAAAAATCTAATAATTAAAAAATAATACTCTCCCAGGAGAAACCTTTTTTTATATATATATATATATTTTTTTTATGTCTATTGATGTAATTCTTGAATAAAAATGTGGCTTAATATAAAATGCAGGAAATTACAAAAAAAAAAATGCTTTATGGTCAAGGAAGACTTACAAAATTCACAATTAGGCAATTCTTCCCCTTTTAATAAGATTATGAATAACTCTTGTGTTTTCTATCTCTCAAATCATCCCTTCAATTTCCTCACTTTCTCACAGTTTCAAACTCTTCCTGCAGTATTACAAGCATGCCTCTCGACAGCATCGTGAAACAGAAAATCAATCAGACTCGCTCCTTCAGTTTGCATAAAGAAGAATGTGTTTACAGTGATGCACTTACGGCTCAAGTTTGTGCTGTTGTCACAGCAACACAGATACAAAACAGATAATATTCACAATACTACCTCGTAAAATGGCTAAAAAGCACCTAATTCAGCTCATCGAATGCTTACTGAATAATACAAATACTGGTCAAAAGTTTGGAATAATTAAGGACTGACCAATCAGAAGACGCTTTAATAATCATTTTGAAAGTACAGCTACAAGACTGTATGCGTGATAACATAAGACAGGTGTGATGAATCACTAACATCGCCTGTGCAAATGCATGTTTAATATAACTTGCATACTGTAACAGCCTTGTTTTCATTCACATCAATTAAATACAGCAAAAGTTAATTGTAAACAATATTTTTGTGCAACCAGTCTCCCATAGCTTTAATAATCATTTTGAAAGTACAGCTACAAGACTGTATGCGTGATAACATAAGACAGGTGTGATGAATCACTAACATCGCCTGTGCAAATGCATGTTTAATATAACTTGCATACTGTAACAGCCTTGTTTTCATTCACATCAA